GGGGGGGGAAGGGGGGACCTTGCTGGTTCGGGATTTAACATGTGTGACGCTAAGCGATGGGGTCTAAGTTCGTGGTTCTTACCATTCTATAACACTTATATTTTTAACTCTTTTCTCAAAGGAAAGTGAAATTAGACGTTCACATGGAATACGTCACCAAATCAGTGTATAACGTGATGGGGRTCCTTAAAGGGGAAAACGAACCAGGTAAAAGAGGCGATAAAATACAGCTTTATATTGCTGTTTAGATGTTAAAGCTTTCATTCTTGTGTATTCAACCATCTCGTGACAAAAAATAGCAAAATCAGAGGAAAAAAGAGGAGATCAGAGAAAGAGTGGAGTTGAAGGGTGTCCTTGACGCATGTGGAGTTGGTGTGAGTTGAGTGGAATCGAGAGGAGTACTCGAGTAGATTAGAAGTAGATCGAAGTTCTGAGGGCCGTAGACTCGAGGGACGTAACTTGGAATACTTTAATAAAGAAATAGAAAACGCGCGCGCGTGCTGTGTGTAGTTATAAAGCACGTGAGGATTTGCAGAACACGAGAGAAGTGTTAGGAGAAGCATGACGCGTATCGGAGTGCTTATCAACACTTCTCGAGTGTTCTACTAATCCCCAAGTGCTTTATAACTACATACAGCACAGCAAGCAACGTTTTTATTTCTTTTATGAGATACAAATTAGAATAGCCTTTATTTTGGACACGAATGACAAAATAGAAAGTGCGCGCGCGTGCTGTGTGCCCTTCCAATCAGAGCGCAAGATTCATAACAGATATTTTATGTTATTGCGCTTCTCTCCTAAACAATATTGTATAATAAAGTCATTGTATTGTGTTATATTGAATTAGGGTATAGTGGAGTACAGTGGAATGAAGTAATGTACTTTATTTGACCTTTTTTCCAGACCGCATGGTCCTTTTTGGTAACCATAGAGACGCAACAGCATTTGGCGCCACCAATCCTTCAAGTGGTACAGCGGTCTTGATGGAGACAGTGAGAGTGATTGGAAGACTCCATAAAAAGAAAAGTACGTCTGCAACGCTCTCTCATTAACATCAATAATAAGTATACGGCTAAAAGGCTAAATCTTAATCTGCGTACCGCTCTACTTTACGGTGCACAACTTGCCCTCGGGGAAAAAATATCGCCCTGGGGCCTCCCTACATGGAATTTAGTTTGTTAGCTTTTGCGATGGGAGGAAAACCGAAAAACCCACGTCAGAAAAACCCTTGAAGCAAGGGAGACGTTGACGCTGGGAATCCAACCCGAGACGCCAGAGGTGAGGGGCGAATGCACTGCCGCTACACCGCCCTTGATGTATAGACTGGATATGTAATTGTAGCTTTAAAAAGTACAAAGAAAATAGCGAGCAGGAGTAGAAAGTACAAAGCAGGAGAAGAAAAGGCAAACGACAGACACACCTTCACATCTGCCGAGTGCACGTGTAAAGATGAAGATGAATCTCTTGTCGTGTTCAGGTTTAAATGCGCAATACATGAAGTACGCAAGCTGCATATCTACCTATTAAACTTTATGATTGCATATCAACTAGTTGATTTTATTCTTTGTACATTCTATAGAGTGGCGTCCAAGACGAACTATGGTGTTTATTAGTTGGGGAGGCGAAGAACCTGGGGCAATTGGATCAACTGAATGGGTCGAGGTGAGTGATAGAAAAGAAGTGAAAAAAAAGCAGCAGACGATAGTCCCTTTCACATTTCCTTGCGCCATCTTGAAAGGTAAGCGCGCCTTCGTATCGAAGCGAAACAAACGTTGAGCTTGCAATATATAAAGACCTTTTTCATTACCTTGTACAATTATTCACATATACGCAGATGAACTGTTAAGGGACTATTGAAGGGTTTCACTTCATTTCCTACCTCGAGCAGAATGTTCTCAGCTGAATCGCAAGTTTATCTTTTGTCAACTTGCATAAAAGCAGCTTAACTCTACAGTGAGAAAAAAATCCTAGATGAAATTGCGTGTACGATTTGCACAACTACTGGCATTCGAAGGTGCAACTTAATTGTAAGAGAAATGAGCAGAGTAAATCAGTGATAGGAGCGATATACTGAACTAACTCGAACACGGTTCAATATCTTGTGATCAGCACAACATAGTAAATGTACATGTGTATTAACTTGAACTAATCTAAGAATGGACGTTTCTAACGATAATATTATCGATTCTTATACCTGTACTGAAATCCTGAAGTTGAAATTGCATGATCAACTAAGCGTGTTCAATAATGCAAATAACACATACCTATTTTTTTCTCCAGGATTTCACAAATCTGATCAAAAACCGCGCTGTTGCCTACTTGAACGTGGATGCTGCAGTGGAAGGTTAGCATCTCTTACAGAATATTTTATTTTTAGCAACTCATGGAAAGTATAGAATCATAACATCATGAACAAGACGTTGCAACATTTTCCTTTCGTCCCTCACTCCCCACACCCTCCCCCGGGGATATTTGAATAGCTACTAATCCTCGCTCGGCCAAATTGACCAAAGCATTGGCAAAGGAAAATATAGGGACTCATCGCAGTTTAAACTGCAGTTCTGATAGGATGACCATTAACTAGCCGGCGTTCTGTAATTGGCGTATTCAGACTGAATATATCATAAATGCGTACCGTTACCGTACCGTGAATTGCAGCTTCAGGAAACCTTTCTTTCGGCTGTTTTAAACAAAAACATTTTTGCATATTATTTCTCTTATGCGTATTTTGTTTCAGGTAACTATACTTTCAGAACGGCATCAAGTCCTCTTATTGACTACGTAATGTTCGAGGCAGCCAAAAATGTAAGGATGGCCGTAAAAAGTGACAATGGGACCAGGGTACAATCCTGCCGGACAACCCCACGGGACAGGGACAGTGAGAGGGTGCGGGGTGGGCGGGACAGAGAAAGGGGTTTAGGGGCATCCATTAAACGTTTTCAAGCTTCGCCAAAGATTTGGATCAACAAACATTCCGAAGCGCACATGAAACACGTCTCCTAGATGCAAGCAGGATATGAATTTTGCTTGATATTTGACATGCAGTTAGTTTAAGCAACCTTGTCCTCCACCTAGTATGGTATTAGAAACCTTTTGATCCGACAACGAGTACTTTTCATGAGCACGCGAAATATTTCGGCACTATGATAAAGATAAAGGTCAACAAGAAAAACAATCTGATCTCTTTTTCTCTGCAATGTGAGCCGAAAAATATGGTAAATCAATGGAAGATATAACGAATTAGACCATTTACACCTCGTTTTTCAACACTACAAAGTTTAAAAAAGAAAGAAAAAAAAAAAAAAAAAAGAAAAAGAAATCGTAAGCAAGACGACGGCCACGAAGTTTAGTTGACACGTCAATGGTTACAAGTACGCGAGCGCAACCAACCGTCATAATTCGTACTCGTCGTCGGATCTAACGATCTCTATTAGCTTGTTCTTCCATGAGTCTCTCTCATTTCATGCTCATTTTCAACGTCAGGTATTCACTCCAAACGGGTCTATCCTGGACTATGTCTACCATGACTGGAAAGTGAAACGTCCAGACAAGAATAATCCTTCCATACCACAGTGAGTTCTTGATTTCACTATTTTCACTTATTCAGACTCGCACCTAATCAACTTTCTTACGTTGTGGTTGATGGGAAGTATAATTGCCTTTCCATTCCGTGAGTGACTGGGTACGAGTCTGTCACCTATGCTAGGAATCGATGATATTTTACATTTCCTCAGCAAAATGTTGATATTGTTAAAGCAAAGATGCTAGTGTTAATTCTGAAGTACATAAGCTATGAGTTTGATATTGGCATGTTTGGGAGAAAGAAAGGCTGTTCCCTGTGACTTAGGTGATGGAACTGATCGATAGAACAAAAAGACGCTGGTACCTAAGGTACATAATCTAATAGGTGATGGTACTGATAGAACATAAAGACGCTGGTACCTAAGGTACATATTCTATTAGGTGATGGTACTGATAGAACACAAAGACGCTGGTAACTAAGGTACATAATCTATTAGGTGATGGTACTGATAGAACAAAAAGGCGCTGGTACCTAAGGTACATAATCTA